GGTCCGACGTGCACGTAACAGTCCGACCGCACCAATTAAAAAAAAAAACGGGCCAATCGCCTTGAACTTTTTCCGCTACCGACAGGTGGAGCGGCGGAAGCATCCAATTCGGGCGGCAGCTAAAACTGGGTGACGCCGCCGCCTGATTGCTCATTTCCCGTGTGGAAAACGTTGCGGGGGGGGGGGTGGCGGCGGAAGGGGGCTCCCGCCACCGGCTTCGAATTGGTTTCGGCAATAAGAAACCGCAATCGTGGCGGGCCTTAAATTGGATCGCGTTGTGTGTTTCGATCGCGATTAGCCGTAATCAACTTTTAATTGCGATTTACTAATTGGCAATCAAGTTCACGTTTGAGCCGTTGGCCCTGAATAATTCCGTTGTTTCGTCGGGGAACGCTCCCCCCCCCCCCCCAACGCGCACCGACGACTAAATTTGTCGTTGTCGTCGTCGATCGAAAACCGGCGAGGAAGCGACTACGTGGGCGGGAACAAAAGGGAGATTATTTTTTTTTCGCCGAAGTACCTGCGTTTTATTTTTTTTATCGAAATAACTTTAACGGCGATTTCATGATCCATAGGAATCGGATTTTTTTTATTGATATATATATATATATATATATATATATATATATATATATATATATATATATATATATATATATATATATATATATATATATATATATATATATATATATATATATATATATATATATATATATATATATATATATATATATATATATATATATATATATATATATATATATATATATATATAACAAATTTTAGTTAATTGGGGTATCGGTCCTTTTTTTATTGGTCCCGTCTGTAATGTGTCTCGGTATGATCCCTGTCTGTCTGCATTTGAGTAAGAATATCTTCCTGTTTCCAAACGATGATAGTTTGCTGCCGAGCCTGGCCCATTGTTTGAGTAGTGAAACTGCTTCGTTTCCATATCGAGCTTTTATTGATTGGAAAAACCCCATTCCTGTAAAATACACAAAACGGTAGTCGTGACCGGCTAGTTGAACAACAAATTTTAGTTAATTGGGGTATCGGTCCGATAGCTGCAGAATTATTTTACACGGTGAAAAGTTGATGAAACGTGTGTCGTGTAGTTTTTTCCTCACATTCCTTCGGATTTAACGCTTTTCAAAGATACGCTGTAGGATTTTATTTTTACGGCGAAATCGTCCCAACAAGAGCATTCGCATCAATCCGAAAACTCCAAGAACCAAGTCAAAATTCGCGTGGGGGATAGACCGACTGCACCAACGGAACCGGGTCCGACGTGCACGTAACAGTCCGACCGCACCAATTAAAAAAAAAACGGGCCAATCGCCTTGAACTTTTTCCGCTACCGACAGGTGGAGCGGCGGAAGCATCCAATTCGGGCGGCAGCTAAAACTGGGTGACGCCGCCGCCTGATTGCTCATTTCCCGTGTGGAAAACGTTGCGGGGGGGAGGGTGGCGGCGGAAGGGGGCTCCCGCCACCGGCTTCGAATTGGTTTCGGCAATAAGAAACCGCAATCGTGGCGGGCCTTAAATTGGATCGCGTTGTGTGTTTCGATCGCGATTAGCCGTAATCAACTTTTAATTGCGATTTACTAATTGGCAATCAAGTTCACGTTTGAGCCGTTGGCCCTGAATAATTCCGTTGTTTCGTCGGGGAACGCTCCCCCCCCCCCCCAACGCGCACCGACGACTAAATTTGTCGTTGTCGTCGTCGATCGAAAACCGGCGAGGAAGCGACTACGTGGGCGGGAACAAAAGGGAGATTATTTTTTTTTCGCCGAAGTACCTGCGTTTTATTTTTTTTATCGAAATAACTTTAACGTCCGATACCCCAATTAATGTATTTTACAGGAATGGGGTTTTTCCAATCAATAAAAGCTCGATATGGAAACGAAGCAGTTTCACTACTCAAACAATGGGCCAGGCTCGGCAGCAAACTATCATCGTTTGGAAACAGGAAGATATTCTTACTCAAATGCAGACAGACAGGGATCATACCGAGACACATTACAGACGGGACCAATAAAAAAGGACCGATACCCCAATTAACTAAAATTTGTTGTTCAACTAGCCGGTCACGACTACCGTTTTGTGTATTTTACAGGAATGGGGTTTTTCCAATCAATAAAAGCTCGATATGGAAACGAAGCAGTTTCACTACTCAAACAATGGGCCAGGCTCGGCAGCAAACTATCATCGTTTGGAAACAGGAAGATATTCTTACTCAAATGCAGACAGACAGGGATCATACCGAGACACATTACAGACGGGACCAATAAAAAAAGGACCGATACCCCAATTAACTAAAATTTGTTGTTCAACTAGCCGGTCACGACTACCGTTTTGTGTATTATATATATATATATATATATATATATATATATATATATATATATATATATATATATATATATATATATATATATATATATATATATATATATATATATATATATATATATATATATATATATATATATATATATACATATATATATATATATATATATATATATATATATATATATATATATATATATATATATATATATATATATATATATATATATATATATATATATATATATGTAAGAATTTTATTTGAACATAATAATTGAAGTAGTTTTAAGTCGGAAAAACACCCCACACCTGACACTAAAATGAAATGCCATAATTATTTTCATTTGACTCTTATAAAAGCAGCAGAATATTGGAAGAGAAGAAGGTGTATATACAAAATTTTCGTTTAATATACTTTGTCTGCTCTCTACTCCAAAATATCCAATTATGTGCAGATTAAGCATGCGGAAACTTTCACTTTAAAGCATAAGCTCCGCTATTCGCGGTTCCGAATCGCTTCGGACGTTTCCGGTATTTTAGCAATGGTCTATTGATGTTTGACGATTCTCGTAGAAAAAGCATAGTATGCAACACGTTTGGTTAACTTTTTAAGTCACTCGTGTATTAAGTACTCACTCCGCTAATGCCAAATGAAACTCGTGGCTAAAATTGTGTTTATCAAAGTTATAAATTTTACTTTTTTAGAAAATAAAGTACACGTAAGTACGCAGATTAGATTTTTACTGTGGGAAAAAAAAACAAAACTAATTAAATTTGAAAAACTTTTCTTTCCTGCCTATCAAAATGTTTAACTGTAAAATGGACACGGAGATTCTCAGTTGATAATTGCAAATAGATTTACTTATTTTACTTTTCTCTTGAGTTTACTACTCCACTATGAAAGATTCTTGGAATTTACATACATGGCTGTAAAAATAAATGTATTATTATTATTAAATAAAGTAATTCTTTACTAAGACTTTGCTGAATTAAAAACACTCCTAACTTAACAGTATAAAATTACTTAATGACTGTGTTCAAAATATTTATTTTGATCGTTTGTTAAGTAAAATATTTGATTTATATTTAAATTTTCCTTTTTTGTGCAGTTCTTCTGGCTTTTGACATTTAACGTTTCTAGTCATCTTTATTAACCTTAATACAGTAGAAAATAGGAATCGAATGAGGTTTTAGATGAATTTGTGGTTTAACATAATTTTTCTAGGGGTTTAAAATTAATTAATACATTTTTATTCGAATAGAATAATTGGCTTAGTTTTAGTTCAGGCATACTCGAAAATAGTTCTACTGTTTCGTTCGTGTGCTTGACTTTTTTTAAATATTTTTTTTGCATTTTTCTTAAACACCCCACACATGACACTAAAACGGAATACGAAAATTATAATTTAGTACTATTTTTTGATTTGATTAAATCTAACAATTCTAGCAATCGACACTAACGATAAGCCAGTAAAAAATTAGAAGATAATGAGGTCTGAGCTGGAATTGAAGTTAATATAACTTTTGTACGGGTAAATGATTACAATTAATTAATAAATATAATTGGCCCAGTTTTAAATCAGGGATATTCGAAAATGGCTCTATAGTTTCGTCCGTGTGCCTGGATTTTGTTAAATAAACTTTTTCAAATGTTTTCTCGAAAACCCCACACCTGACACTAAAACGGAATAACAAAATTGTTATTTTTTGCTATATTATGATTTTCTTAAATTGCACCATATAATTTTTTTTTATATTTTTTGCTACTTTAGCCGGCCTGTGCCTAGGCAACAGCAAATTTAAATTGTCTCCAAAATCATATTAACAGTCTCTGGGCTCAGAGTAATATGATATATTGTTTTTATATGCATAATTGAAGCAAAAAAAATGTTTTGCAAGAGTAAGTAAAAATAAAATAATTCTCAGTATTCTCTGACATAGTTACGCCAACACGATGGCACATGACAAACAGGATTGTACGTAGTTATAATAGTAAAGTAACAAAAGCTGAACACCAACTTTATATCTCAAACCTGATGAGTCCACGAAAAGTGTTCTTCAATTAAAACTCCCAGATAGTTCACAACTCTGGTTTATTTAACCGTTTTATTGTTCAATTAAACTCTTATTTAAATATGTCAAGCTAAAACGCACATATTTCTGTTTTCTATTCATTTAAAGCAAGCACATTTTCAATGCAAAAAGTTATATTTACAGCAAAGGTTGATATTTTCGATGAAATATTAAAACTAGCATTTAAGATTATGACCACCGCAACTTATAGAATTTATAGAACATTAATTCTATACTATCACATTAAAAGCTCTCCCTCAAAAAAGAGGGACAAAGTCTTATTATTCTCTACGAAACGAGAGATTACCAATTTGGTAATCACTTAAAAATTTGTCTGTATTCAAAAATGCTTCTAATCTTTTTTTCGAAGATTTTTGTGAAAACCGGCAATAATTAGACATCAAATGCCTGTCTCCCCTCTTACGAATTTAAACTATAACTGTCTTTTTTAATGCAAAATAATAGTGCATTTCTTATTTTTCTTTTTTTTTGTGCAATTTTTCTAATTTTCGATAAAAAAAAAGATGCGTACCGACTCCCCCCCCACTTAAAAAAACTTTTTCTCCACTCACCTGCGGACTGCTTACTTCACCGCCGACCGCCGTCGCAGAAGCCATTTTTTTTGGCGCTAATTCGCTGGTTTCGTGAGGGGGCCGGTGGGGCAGTACCGGAAATTGGTGGACGCGGTAAAAGTTTCGATCGCCGAAAACTTTGAAACTGTCGTCGTCCAAATAGAAAGAGCGCGGAGGTGCCAGTGGACCGTGCTTCGTGGCGATCGCCGACAACAAGTGAGCATCGGCGTCGCGACGCTTTTGATTTTAGAGTTGGAGCGCTTGCGCGCACTTTCGGGCTTTGCGAGTTGCGATTCCCGTTCAATTACCCCCCTCTCCCCCTCAAACCCGTTGCACAGTGATAGGTACCCCACGGCGGGATGGGGGATTCCCCGCGTTGTAATAATAATGATAATAATAAAAGACTTTGTTTGTACTCAAAAGAATGAGGTTCGGTTCGACAGATGCCGACTGTTTAGCTAACCTTAAAGAAAGAAAACTTTTATTATACCACTAAACAAAGTAAACTACTGATCATATAAAAAAATATGCTGTTTTAACGACAATTTATCTCTGCTTTTTAGGTTTGACATAGTAAAATAAATGTGCAGGTCAAATTAACTTTTTTTATTACTAAAAACAAATAGGGTTACTGAAAATTAGCAACTCAACACTTATTTTTTAATAATGGGTATGACCCACTCTTGCCCTAATAACATGTTAAGCCACTCTTCCTCTACTGCAACAATAAGCTCTAAGATCGAGGATAGGGTACGAAGTCTAGCTCGAATTCTTCATTTTAGCTCATCCCATAAATCTTGGATCGGATTGAGCTCGGGACTGCGTGCTGGCCACACAACTGCTTGCACGATCCTTGCGGTGTGCGGCCTAGCATTGTCATGCACATAAACGAGTACTTCTCCAATGTAGTCGACATATGGTACCACATGATCTGATAAACTATCCTCGATGTACACCGTGTGCCAAATAAAACGATCCAGTATACGTTCTGGAAACCCATAGGAGATACGAAAAAAAGTTTCCTAAAAAAATTTCTTGGACTCCCCTGAAGATTGAAAATATCAACTTTGTTATTTTAAATGGAACGCTCTATATATTTCGACATTTTTAGAATCCTTGAGTTAAAATAAAGGCCACTTTCTTAAGAAATTCCTGTTCAAATTTTGCATTGTATAGGCAGAAATTGAGGTTATCTGTTTTTTTTTTTTCATATTTTGAGTGCCCCATAGAAAATTGTGTTGTGACGCTACTGATCAGTTTGACAGATGAGGCTCAGCTTATACAGGGTGTCCCAAATAGGTGGAGCCGTTTTGGTGAATACAATTTTACAAAATCTTTTTATTCAGATATCAATTCGAGAAGAAAAATAAGGTAAGTTTGTAATTTATCTTAAATTTATATCTTTTTAATTTAAATTTAAAATCTTACTTTTTGAGATATTCAAGGTTTAAGATAACACCTGTATAAATTCTTGTTGAATTTAAACCTGCCTACATTAGGTCACTTGTTGACAACATTAGGTATTTTTTATAACAAAGACATGATACTACTTTTAAAGTCAATATATTGAAAATATATTAGTGTTACCATATTTAAGTTTTTTATAGTCATTTGTTCTGTTTTTTTTTTATTTTATAGATTTATTTATTCAAATTTGTTAAAGTCTGTTCATAGATATAAGAAAGTGACTAACTGATACGAATTAAGGAAAAACCCGGACAAGCTGTAAGAATGAAATATGGCCGAACAGGTCCGTACTTTGCTTAGAATTTAATGATTTGGGGTTTTGTTAGGAAAGATACTAAACAATATTTATTTATTTATGTATGTATTTATGTTTAAATCTAAAATAAAATTACAAATTATTTTTATTACCTACTCAAATTACTTAAAACTAAACACATAATATGTCAGTATCACTATCGCTATCAACGCTTGTTCTAATTATTATTTGTTCTATATTATTTGTAACATGGATATAAAATTGTTCTACTTTTTCTATAGGTTTAACAGAATTTGCTCAACTTTATGGAGGGATGTTAAAAACTTCGGCTTCTATAAGTTTGAGGACATTGGAGTTAACACGGGAAAAACATTGTTACGACGAATGGCAGATTTCAGCTGGTGCCAAACATGTTCAATGGGATTAAATATACAGTGGTATACAGTGGCCCTAAAACTGTATGCCCTAAATTTTTTGCATAATTATCACAGACGTATTCCTTTTGCAGGTTCAAGCTTTTTTTTTATAATCTTCGTGAAAATAAATGTCATTATTATACATGTAGTTTTGGATTGTTGCTTTTGCATCACATGAGGAAGGGGTTTTAGTCAACTGTCTACTGTGATAACTTGCATTGTCCATTACAATTACGCTATTAGGATGAATGTTTGGAACTAGTTTGTTTTTAAACCAACTTTCAAATAAATAAGCGGTGGTGTCTTCGTGGTAATCCAGAGAAGAATTTTTAATATTTTTCTCAGACAGAGAAAGTCCATTTGGAATCCAACCATCTTTAGAGCCAGCATGCAAAATCGTTATTCTTTTACCTCTCTTTGATGGCGCGTTTGTTGAGTTGAGTTGAGTTGAGTCAACCCAACCCTTTTCATCCAAGAAGTAAATAATTGGCCTTTATTGTTCTCTGTAAATTCTAATTTTTTCTAGATATTCCAGTCGCCATTTCCGAATTCTAAAAGATTCCATTAAAACCTGCCTTTTGTCAATTTTTTTAAATGTAATACCCATGTGTTGAATACACTTCCATAAGGTAGTTCTGCCACATTTAATATCGGGTTTCATTTTTTTCAAGCCTCCTAATTAAGATATCTAATGTAGGCACGCTTTGTTCCTCGTATAACTGGTAAATTTTGTAAAAACGACACGTATCATATTTCTACTTTTATTGAACGTACTTGAAAATAAAGAGTCTGCCTTGAAGTTAGGCAAAATAAAAAAAATCCAGTTTTAAGGCTGCAAAAACATATATAAAACTTTTGGATGTCGTAGAAGCATTAATTTTTGAGGAAAAATTTAAATAAATGTACAGGAAAATCCCTATATGATTTTTCAAAGATAGACTGACAGCATATGCAAGGATGCATGATTTTAAAATTAAAAAGAAACAGAGTATACGACTATAAACTAATAAATAGAGAAAATAAAGTCTAAACAATTGTAATAATAAAATTGGCTAATCTAACAAACTGGGGGTAATAATAGTTGAATGTATTCATAAGTGCAAAACCAAAACTGCCAACTAGTTGTTCATGGCTATTTGTTAATATATAAAAAAAATGTTTGGCTAGAATGAAGACATTGGGGGTTTATTTATCTATCTTCTTACTTTCTCTTGGATGGATATTGGAGATTTCAGACTGTCCATTCGCGGCGTGCATGCTTTATATCCAAAGCCTCGAGAGTCGTCCGATGATCGGCTCCATTTTCGTAGTTAATCGATTTTTATTCCCCCCCAAAGACGATTCAATCCCCGTGCTTTACCGGCCCGTCTCTCGCAAGCCATCATCGCCGAGAGGTTTCAAGTGTTCATTTGGCCGTTATTGCTGGAAAACTGATACCGACTTTTCCGGGGGCTCCCTTCGCAACGGCCCGGAGGCGGCGGCGAAACTGTCCGAGAAATAAAATTCTTTAGTATTACGATTTCTCCGGATGACAGTCGGGATACGCCGTTGAGTCAGGAGCTCTCTTTTTGTCTTCTGCGGGCTCAAGTTGCCAAGTAGGGCTGCCTGTTGTCAGTCAATTGGTTCGAAACTTTCCTCTCGCTAAAAGTGTCCATCAACAGACGACGACTGCTACGAAAAAGGACTATGCGACAGGCTATATATATATATATATATATATATATATATATATATATATATATATATATATATATATATATATATATATATATATATATATATATATATATATATATATATATATATATATATATATATATATATATATATAGTTTTATCCGTATTCAATTTCAAATAATGTTGGGCAGGTTATTCCGATTCGGACAATATATGGTAAAACTGGCATCGTCCGCAAATATAGCACATTTGGCAGACCCCAAAACAGGACATAGATCAGCAACACACACTATAAAAAATACAGGGCCGCGTACAGACCCTTGGGGGACCCCACTGGAGACCTTCACCGAAGAGGATTTACGTCTGTCGTCGCCCACAAGCTGTTCCCCGTCTAGTAAATCAGATTCTGTTAGCTTAAGGGTTCCACCGCGAAATCCTTACCTAAACAGCTTCTGTTTAAGATGAATCTTGCGAGAAGGCCTTGCTAAGGGCACACATTGTCAACCCCACTCGATTTCCAGTCTCAAAACCCACCACCACACTTATTGCTTGTATGGTAGAGCGCCCCTCCCTATATCCCTATCCCTCCATATGCTGCTAAAAAAACTATTTGTGGTCTTAAAACCCTTTCAAATATCTTACCGATATGTGGCACTATGGATATGAGGTCAATACAAAAGAGGCTTTTTATGAAAAATTGAAAGTTGTACTGGTCATACCAACGAAATTATATATATATATATATATATATATATATATATATATATATATATATATATATATATATATAAACCTGGTTCAAAACAAAAAACGGGAAAAACATTACAGAATGCTATTAACGGAAAACAGAAACGATTTTTTGGGGGAAATTGACGAAGTTTCTGGGATTGAAATTCAGGCAATTAATAAGAAAGGGGATAAAAGAAATGAAGAATCGTTAACCGAACATAATGATAGAAATGTATGCCGATATTTGTAATAAAAGCCTTATAGATGGACATGGTATTCCGGAAGATTGGAATCTGGCACAGGGGAGTGTACGAGTTTTGAAACCTTTACTTTGGCCCAAATCAATGAAATCAAATGAACCAAGACAACTGGTATGGACATGTTAGACGCATGGAGGAAAATAGATGGCCCAGATTTTGAATATGCTCTAGCAAATAAAAAAAAAACGAAGAATACCAGCTGAATGAATTTATAACAACCCTAAGGGACCGGGTAATAAATGAAGGGGACTGGAGAGACAGAAACATGTGGCGATCGAAATGCGGGATGCGGCAGAAGCCGTAGATTATCTTCATGCGTTAACATTTTCCCCCGTGCTGCTCTCTAGCGTGTCTTTCGCCGAAGATCCTGTTCCCCATTAGACGGGTTAGTCTC